TCGAGGTGTCGCGATGTCGCTCGATAACTCATGCGACATTCCGCTCCTCGCTCGAGTTTCCCGAACTCGTGCGACGGTAAAATCAACGGAGTTCTCTCTCTCTCTCTCTTTCTCTTTCTGTCTCTCAGAAACGATTGGTCGACTCGACGTCGATGAATATCTTCACCGTCTTTGACCTCGTCACGATTGTTTTAATGTTAATCGAGTAATTACGAATATTTCCAGGGGGCGTCTGTAAAAGCGTCTTTCGGCCAATTCTGCGTAGAGTACATAAATACGTACTCTCTAAAAATCAATTAGTGAATTATCACTGGAAACAGTGAATAGCCACTGATTTGCAGTTATAAGTATACTACTGAAAATTTCAGTGGTATACTTATAACTGTAAATCAGTGGCTATTCACTGTTTCCAGTGATAATTCACTAATTGATTTTTAGAGAGTACGGTGTGAAATTTGTACACTGAGAAAACTGTTCATCGGATAAACCAATCAAATAGTGTTTCCGATGGTTAATTTTTCCGATTAAATCATGGATACATCCGATGAAATTTATCCGATAAAATGCAGTTGCCGATAAAATTTAATCGGAAAACCGATCATATTTTTTATCGGATATACAATTTAATTGGATATATCCGTTTGTTATTATGTAATTGGATTATGCGATTATATTTAATCGGACATTTTTCTGAGTGTACTTAACAATTTCATTCGTGGGGTAAACCGCTGAGGGCATTGTGATGCACAGACTTGCGGCATTACTGGGCATCAGGCCTTGCTGGGGCATCATAAAGATAAAGTATGATGAAACACGACTAGACAAGATGAAACAAGATAAATAAGATAGTGTAAGATAACAAGCTAAAGTAATTCCCACTGGACATTAGTAGGCGTTGGTGTACATGATTTTGGTCAGCGGTTTACCTCGCGATTTAATTAAACAACGGAGCCGAAAGAAACTATAAAATGTGTTGAATAAAAAATGTAGTTGTCCTCTTAACTACAATTTGCGCCAAAATAAGAAATTGTGCTACACGCGATAGTTAAAAATAACAACATATTGAGTCGGGGCGACTTTGCTCACCGAGTTAAATTTAGCACTACAAATTTAACAGTGCATATACCGCACTGAGAAAAATGTCCGATTAAATACAAGCGGATAATCCAATTACATAATAACAAACAAATATATATCCGATGGAAAATATGATCGGTGTTTCGGTCAAGTTTCATCGGTAACTGCATTGCATCGGATATATCCATAATTTTATCGGAAAAATTAACCATTGGTAAAACTATTTAATTGAATATGAAATCTTCTAGGTCGCCAGTAATAATTAAGAAGTCCAGTATACTTAATTATTTGACCATAACTGGCAAAATTTTCTTTTCTTTGTTTAAGAAACGCTATACGTTTCGACCATGGTTTTTGGTCCTTTTTCAAGCAATCTGTTACACGTAGATCTAATTTAATTGGTTTATCCGATGGAAATTTTTCCCAGCGTGCGCTTTCCGACTTTACACTGATTCGATGCACAGAGTTAGCCGACAGGCAACCGGAAATCTCACAGAGGTGTTCGCGGCTGCTGGATCAACGTTACGTGCGTTATGCGAGAACAATTCTAACGAGGTCGCAGACGACAGAGACCGGTATTCGACGTCAGTCATCTGTCGACGTTCGATCGACATCGATTCGACGAATCACTTTAAGGCTGGAACCGTTTCCGAGGAAGGATCTCGGCGTCGACAAACCGCGGCGACGAAAATAGAAGTGATTACTGGCGTGGGATCAGAAATAGCTCGCGGGCGACGAGAGACTCGTCTCGCGCCAAACAATCTGTTGTTTTGTCTCGCGACGTGTCGCGAGGCACGTTCGCGGGCGTCAGTGCTGCTGCATTCGGCTGTCTAGGTGTGTTTTCGCTGCGTTAATTCACCCTTTGTCTCTTTCTAACTGTCCCCTTAATCAACCGAAAAGAACAACACTCGACTGCGGTTGGCCCATTTCTTAAGGCTGATCTACAATACATGCACTGAGAAAAATTTTCATCGGATAAACCAATTAAATAGTATGTCCGATGGTTAATTTTTCCGATTACGTTTTCCAATTAAATTATGGATATATCCGATGAAATGCAATTACCGATGAAATTTGATTAAAAAACCGATCAAATTTTTCATCGGATATAGAATTTAGTCAGATATATCCGTTTGTTATCATGTAATTGGATTATCCGATTATATTTAATCGGACATTTTTCTCGGTGTGGAGTAAGCTGGAGTAAGGAAATAAATCCATTTTATTTCTTACTCCTACTTCAGCTCTTATAGGCTTACTCTCGGTGAATCAAAATGCCATCAATCAGTGTTACAAATATTTTAAAAATTATGCCCGTACTTCAGCTTCCTTACACCAAAAGCTAGAAGTTAGGGCTCTCCCTTACTCCTTACTCCACGTATTGTAGACCAGCGCTTAGGGCTCAGGGTTTAAATCACCTAGTAGACTGGGGGGGGGGGGGGGGGGCTGAGCAGAATGGCTGTACTCTGTCTTGTACTCTTAAAACAATCTTTTATGTTTTAAATCGTTGTCTCAAACGCACAATAACTCTTGCGACTTAAGAATACAAGACAGCCATTCTGCTCCGGCCCTGGGGCTTCGGCTCGGTTTCACCAACGTCGTTTAACTTTAAGCACAGCTTAATTCGTTCTTTACCTGTTGCTCTAGAAAGAGACAAACACGAATTAAACTAAGATTAAAGTTAGGCGACGCTTGGTGAAACCGGGCCTTGGAAGGAGACAAAGGATGAATGAAACTAATTGCCAGATCGACGGTGGAGAAAGCCGAGATGAGATGTCTGTCAATGGTAGAAGGACGCTTATGATTCTCGGGGGTTACATCAGCCGATGCGTCATCGTTCGTGGGGCCCTTGGCCTCGTATTTCCTTAGGGCCAGTTTCATTTCTATCTTGGGCCCGACTTCGCCAACGTCGCTTAACTTTAAGCTTGTTAGCTCAATTCGTTCTTTGCTTGCTCCCAACTCTACAAAGAGACAAACACGAATTAAACTAACAATAAGATTAAAGTTAGGCGACGTTTGGTGAAACCGTGCCTTAGACCCGGTTTCACCAACGCTGTTCAACTTTAGGCTCAGCCCAATTCGTTCTTTGCCTCTTTTCAACCGTTACTTTAGAAAGAGACAAACGTGAATCAAACGAGGATTAAAGTTAAGCGGCGTTTGGTGAAACCGTGCCTTATCCTGAAAGAAGAGACAGCGCATCGAGAAACCTTCGGTTAGCGGTTGACCGACGTTTGCGAAACTGGCCCTTAAGGCTGGTCTGCATGTGGAGTAAGCTGGAGTAAGGAGTAGGAGTAAGGAAATAAATCCATTTTATTTCTTACTCCTACTTCAGCTCTTAGGCTTACTCTCGGTGAATCAAAATGCCATCAATCAGTTACAATTATTTTAAAAATCATGCCCGTATTTCAGCTTCCTTACACCAAAAGCTAGAAGTTAGGGCTCTCCCTCACTCCTTACTCCACGCTTACTCCACGTATTGTAGACCACGCATAACAACTCGTTCGCGGCCGCGTTCTCCGCTTTGGCGGGCAAGCGCCAGGCCAAATTGAAGTCGCTGGACGCGCGTCCGTGCGACGCGGCAGGCCGGCAGGATCTGCCCGGCCGTCCCGACCCCGATGGGAGCCGAGCGGACCTACGGGCGCCGCCGAGAGGTAACGGACCTTCGAGACGAGCGGAGCGAGAGAAAACCGGTCGCGGAGTGCGACTTTTACGCGGCCTCACCGCGTCACGAAACGTTCGCGCATACCAACGCGGGCTCCCAAGGACTCCGGCTCTCGCGGCAGGCACAGTCGTGCACGGCGATCGTAAACGCCGCTCATTCACGAACGTGCCTCGACGAATAGGAGTCTCCGCGGAGCATCGTACGATCCGTGACGCAGGGACGAGAGGTCCTTCGGAAGGGAATTCCGGAAACAAAGAAATGCAACCCCCCACCAAGGGCCGTGGGTACCGGAATGCGCTCGGGACCGGAGATTTCCGTGCCCGGGTGAGGAAAAAAGAAATGTAGAGAGACGAGCGAGAGATCGCGCATCTCGCATTCTAGATCATGTCCGCGCGCGCGCGCGCGCTCGCGCGTCGATCGCCGCCGGTGAAAGCCGCGCGATTAAGCGACGACGGTTTGGGCCGCGCAGCGATTACGTCGCGCGGCCCTCTCGAACGCGCTGGCATTTTCTCTCCGACGCACCAATTTCGCGTACGCGACACCGTTACACTGCCCCCCCGAGTCACGTTCCAACGCGGTCGAGCGGGCAAAAACTGGGCCGCGCCAGCTGGATGAAGTTCTATTACACGGTCCGGCGAACGTGTCGGGGGGGGCGTCGCTTCCTCGTCGCGGCGAGTCGAGCGCGTCTCCTTATCAATCGCGATCGCGTCGCAATAGCGCGATCTTACTTGATTACGCGCGCCGTAAACCTTGGTCCGCGCTATCCGGGATATCGGTCCGGGCAAACAAGACGCGCGGGTTCCAGCTACGCTTGTAATTGCCGCGAGACACTGCCGTGTCCCGCGAATAAACGGTATCCAACTTGATCGACGCGCCCCGGGGCTCTGTTCCGCGCGCACGATTACCGACAATTCGGTCGCGCAGCTCTTTTTACACGGCGGAAAAGCTGCGCGAGCGTCGCTAACGATTCCGACGGTCGTCGGTAAGCGTTGGTGTACGGGACAACCCCCGGTCGTTCGCGCGATCGCGATCGCTACGCGGGATCTTTATCCGGTGGCTCCGGATAATCCGAGTCCCGCCCGCCGCCTCCGCCGCCGCCGCGCGGCGTCAATCGCGGCGACACGCAGGAGAGGAGAGTCGGTGGATCCGTCCGGCGCGGACGGGACGACGCACCGCCGCCTGTTTCTTCCCTGGCGAAATTGCGCGCACGGAGCCGCGCGCTGTCGCAATTGTGCGCGCGGCGAGAATCGATTCTACTCACTTTCTCATCCTCCGCGAGACGCGTGTATTAGCCTGGCGTGCACGCGCGTGGGCCCAGCGAGGAGGTGCACGAGTGGACGGGCCTTCACGCGCAAAAACCGGAGAATGCGCCGTGGACGTACGCACTACCGACGCGGTATCTACCATTCAACTGAGGCGAACCGCCGCGAGGCATCCCGGTCCGGCCGGTCGCCAGCCAGCGGTTAGCGTTGTGCCCCCTCCACTCGGCCGCTCGCTCCTTTACGTGGGACCGAGCGGGAGGGCGCATGCGCGCGCCCCGGCGTTGAAAAGCAGCGCGAATCCCGCGCGATAAAGCGCTTCTTGGAACGGTCTTCTCGTTAGTCGTACCAAGTTCTTTTTATAAGCGCACTTATATTGACCGCGAGATGGAAAAGTTGTCGGGTCTGCAGAAATTTCCTGCTTCGCGGCCAATCGACGCGCTTAAAAAGTCGCGGGACAAATGTAACAGCGCCCGGAGGGACCGGGCGTCTTACGCTCCGAGCCTTTTTGGACTTTGGCAGAATTGCTGTCTCTCAAGACCACGTTTTAAAGCCTTTGTCTTGAAGTGACGCACAACAATGTCTCGTGCCTCAAGTCTTACACGAGTGTACGAAGGCAACGAGTCGAATAAACGTATACATATAAACATTAGAGAGTAACAATTTTACTGCACGGTATTAATAATGGATGAATATTTTACGAGTATTGTCTTGAAGTCTACAAGTCAGCCAGTCTACTAAGGCACCGATCTACAATGTGCTCTTTGCGATTAGAAACATTATATCTTGTATAAACAAGTCGCTTAACAAATTTATCGACAATGTACGATTGCATAGTGCATCAACTTGCACAAGTTTTTTAAACGTACTTATTAGATACAAAATAGAATTGTCCTGAACGCAAAGAACATACATGCTCTCTGCGTCTAGAAACATCTTATTTTGTAGTCGATAAATGCGCTTAAAAAATTTAGTTGATAAATTGTATATTATACACAGTACAATCGCACATTGTCGGCAAATTTTTTAAGCGTTTTCATTTGTTTATATAAAATAGAAACATTCCATTTTGTAGTCGATACATTTAAAAAATTTGTGCACGTTGATAAATTTTACAATCGTATTGTCAATACATCTTTTAAGCGTATTGGTTTGCTTAAGCAAGGTAGAATGTTTCTAGTCGCAAAACACATTGCAGATTAGATTTCAGGGTATCACGTTTGTCGTACGAAAAAATCTTCAAGCATACCGACTGCGAAATAAAAGAATTCCTAAAGGAACTGAAAAATTTGTCGTGCGACAAACGCAATATCGTCTTCGCCTCGAAGCATTTGCAGCTCCGAGTCGCGGTCTTAAAGATCGCGGAGCGGCGGGCGCGAATCGACGACGTTACCTTACTGTACAAAACATATTTATTTAATAACTTATGAAGATGCGCATACAGAGTGTACAAGCTCCAGCGTTCTCGCGGTATCGCTACCGTTCGGTTGCGCGAAAAATCGTGTGCGTTCCACCTCCTGACGCTTATATGTACATCGCACACCCCCTCGCTACGATATTTTCAGCGAGCGTCGGATGAAACGGGATCGTTCACTACAAGCGACGTGCGCCACGCGTTTCGCTCGACACGGCGCTCGCTGGATGGCGAATCTCCTGAAAATATCTCGCCACCGAGTACTTTGTCTCTCTCTCCCTCTTACTCTTCCAATAGCGAGCCGATGCCGAGGGAAACTTGAGACGCGCTTAGAATATGTACGGCGCATAAACATACAAAGTTAAAAAGGCCCGGTCATCCAGGCCCGATCTCTCTCTCATTTATCTAATAAAAGCTTTGCGTCTCTACGATGCAATGTCGTTCGCGATTCTGTCAAAAATATTCTATGTACAATGATGGAGTATGTGATTATAAAAAAAAAACGCGCAATCTCGCATAATGAGGATCCGCGGTTTCGTTCCGCGTCGTGTAAAATAAGAAGTCTCACTCGTTCATCGAGGATCAAGAGGAAGGATGGTCCGCCGAAACTTCACGCGCAGGAATCTGTACGACGCGGCGGCAACGGAACATCCGCGCACACCGCGAGTCAGAAGTACAGATTCTTGCTTCTCTCGAGACGTCGCGATGCCTCGCTGTACTACAGACATTCAATATTAGATGTAGTGTGCTAAAAAGAGAAATCATAATTTTGCAAATAAATCTTCGGCTATAAAAGACAAGTCAGTTATCGTGCAGTTGAAATAAAATAAAATAAAAACGAGAGCTGCAGTTGTCAGTATCAAATAACGCATCTCGAACGTGCAGTACAGGGCGATGTAGCCCTGTCTCGCAGAGACTCAACTTCATTTTCTAATAATTCCACGCAAATGCATGACGTAGAGGTAAGTACCACAACAATTAAGACGCGAATGTAAACTAGAAGAATGTACAAATGAAGGAACGGATCCTCGGCGATCTTTGTACATCTCGAATGTAGAAGGGTTAGTCTTGCATGTCTATGTGCGACCTATATTGTAGCCTCAAGGGTGGGTCCCGGAACCTCCATCTCGTCACGTAAACAAACTTCAACGTGTGGTCCTTACCTAATAATTCGTTATTGCACAAAATATCGATCTGTGGAGAAACGAGGGCGAATTAGCGGGCGAGAATGACGGCGCGCGTTCGGCTTCGCATCGGCCGCCGGATATACTCACATCTCTATATTTATCCATGCCGTTCAAAGCCTTCTTGGCGATGAATTTCTTCATGTGCGTTATCGTAGCCTGAGCCGAGCACCTGATAAATCTTTTCTTCAGGGTCTTCAGACTCGAGTTTGTACACTCCAAACTTACGTTAACCTGTAATTTCGACAATTTGTCAGTTCCAATCGTGAGTATTCTTATCTCGTAATGCCAGCTTTTCACAAACACCTTTTAACCTCGATCTTGATTTAATTTATGCTTTGTCTCTTTCTAAATATTCACTTAGGAATAGACAAGGGATGAATTAAACTGACAATAAGATAAAGGTTAAACGACGTTCTTGTCGCCGCAGTGTCACCTGTTCGTCAGCGCGATGGTAATCCGATTCCGCGTGCGCGTCCGCGTTGGCTTTTTCCTCCTCGACCTCGCCGGCGTTGGGCAAAATGTCTTTGGGACAAGGCAAACCTCTGGCTCTGTAAAATTCCCTTTCTCTTTTGATCTCATCTGAAAGTAAAAAAAAACACTTCCGTCAGTGGCAGAAGGAGAGATTCCTCTTGCACAAAGAGAGAGAGAGAGAGAGAGATCAGAAACCAAAACGAAGCCCTTACTTTCTTGAAGATCGGGCACCAACTTGTAGACAATATCCTGCATGGTTCTGTCGAAGCTGATGTACTGTAGCGGATGCGACTGATGTATTACGATCTGGCATGTCGGACAGGTGTGCTTCTCCTCGAGATGCTTCACCAGGCAGCTCTTGCAGAACGTGTGCAGACATTCGGTGACCGTGGTGGCGTCAATCAAATACCCACGGCATATCTTGCACGTTATGTGACTGTTGAGAGTCTTCAGCTTTATCCTTCTCTCCATGGCATCGATAATCACCATTTAACGGAGAGATGTTATCTGTAACGGCGGACGTAACGCCCTGCATTAATTGCGGATATTAATAGCCGAAGGTTACTGGAGCGAGAAGGTCGTTACGAGTCGGCACGGATAAACGCTCGTGGGAGGATAACAGGCACGGGAGGTGGTGCAAGCAGATCGGTTCGACTCGCAGCTACGAACGCACGCGGCCGCGATCGGCGTGCGCCGAGCAGCCGCGAGAGCGGAAAGTGGGTTATCGGATTCTAACCTCAATCGTGAGTGTGTCGCGCGGCGGCGCTCCGCCAGCTTTCAGGCGTCGTGGATCTCTGCGGCGAGGGTCGGCGAATCCTGCGGCATTCTCGCACCTCGCGCCAGGGATCACGGCGTACGACCCGCGGAACCAAGAGGCTTTCTTACCAAGGGCCTGCCTCAAAAACAACTCATTGGCTACGAGCAGCTACGAGCGTTCACTCGCACGACAACAAAACGGACTACCCGACTTACCCGAGGCGGACTGGTCGGAGCGACCGCGGCGCCGCCTGTGCGACGCGACTCGCACTCGCTGGGGAAAGGTCTGAGAATAACGGAGGTAACGGTGAAGTTTTCGATACTGGGGCCCGATCGTCAATCTTTTTCTCCAGCTTAAAATCGCGAAGAGTAAAAAATTTTACATTAACGAATTTGATATTTGTCGAACTTTCACTTTTCACGAGTTCACGCTTGAAGAGAGGATTCACGATTGAGTCTCTGGACGTAGATCGGAACATTGTGAATCTCTTTACCTCGGTCGAGCTGCCGAGAAGCTGGTATCTTAAAGCCCGTATCAGATTACGAATTGGGATTGGGATTAGATTGAAATTTAACCAATCACAGTAAGGTTTACTAATCCCAAGTTCAGTAACTTTTACTCCAGTTGGTCAAATTTCAATCCAATCTCAATCTCAATCCGTAGTCTGATACGGGCTTAACGCGTTTAGGTCCATCTCTGCCAATGCAGATTGACTTCAGTCCTGGTTGAACTTTTTATTCCTCTCTAATTCTGAGACCCGTCGCAAGTCGACTCGCATGGTTTTTAACCGATCGACCTTCAACTCTTCTGCGGGAGCAAGAATTTTCGCACACGTTTTTCTTCTTCGCGCGAATTCAAGAAACGAGCTACGGAAGATGGTTCTCAGCTGGCGGACGGGCCTTTAAAACGAGCGTCTCCGCCACCAGAGACAATTCGTAGGCTACAAGAAAAGTCAAAGGAAATAGAATTCGATAATAATCTAATGAAGGATAGACTAAAAGACCGGGAATTGGAGTTACAGAAGAATCGTGATGTGGAAAAGGAAATAGAAGATCTCACGTTGAAAACAAAAGAATTCGAGTCTATTGTTCACGAGTTGAAAGAGAGAGACTAGCTGATGCTCAGCATGGTACTTGGCGATTTATAAGCGGCCATTTGGAATTATACGCGCGCGATTTAGTATTTAACCCTTTGCACTCCTTATACTTGTATGTCGAGTGTGACTCGACATCAGTTTTTATCTCAGGAGCCCCTTTGTCGAGTCTCACTCGACATTTTTTCCAAACCAATAGATGAAATATAATTCGGAGCGCAAAGGGTTAATGTAAGTTTTTTTAATCTCGCGCGTATGCGAGAATATGTAAAGAAGATAAGAATATAACCCACCCGAGTTTTGGCAAATAAGAGGAAATCAACTGATTTTGTACAACAATTGACCACTTTTGACCAGACAAAATATTGACCACTTACCTCGTCGTATTCAATCGTCGGGTCAGGGGTGCTTTCGCGACGTAGAGTAAAATGATCCGGATCAAAATGATCCGTGCTATGATTGGTCAAATCTGAAATTTCATTGAATAAAATTTCAATGAGATGCTACGAAATTTCAGATTTGACCAATCATAGCACGGATCATTTTGATCCGGATCATTTTACTCTACGTCGCGAAAGCACCCCAGATTGGACCTACCGTTCGTTGCTCCTGACAATACAGTCTGGTCATTTTGACCAGAGATCAGGAAGGAAGAAAACTCCTTCCACAGTCACTTTATTATCGTCACCGACAGATATTTCGTACGGTTCGAGCTATATGCGAGCGTCGATCGTATCGAAATACACGACCACGAGAAGAAAATTAATTAAAATTTTTCTCTTCTAATTACGCGTGATATTCATCTCGACGAATCACCGTAGAAATCAACGATAAGTTTAAGGATCACGACCGTTACTTAAACGCGACTGATAAATGTTAATAATTCTCGTACGAGATGATCGCGTTACGAGGAGCAACGCGAACACTCGCGGAACGTCCGCCTCGTTCGACTGAGCCGCGCCGAATAATGCGGCACAACAGATTGTTTTCGACCGAGGTGTTGACGCTACGTCATTTCTTGGAACCGGTGCGGCGCTCGTTTTTCGACCGAGTTATTTACGGCGCTACGTCACTTTTTTTTGAATCGACGCTCGGTCTACGGCGCTCGGCGAAACAAGGTGACGCCGTACGCGGGATCATTCACGCGGTGTTACAGTCGAATAAATCGATTATACGCGCGCCGCTCTGCAAATGTCGTATTACTCTTTCTTGATACGCGTTCAGACAAGTACGGGAAGAAATCGCGATCGGTCTCTGCGAAAAATTGGCGATCGATATCATCGCGTGATCGTTGAATCCCCGCGATTTGCCATCGATGCTCGGTCAGCCAGCAAGACAGATCCCGGACAACGCACATGTCTAAAAGACGTCATAAAGATATCTTCAAGACATCTTTTAGACGTACATTATACATGTCTAGACACACATGTCTAAAAGATGTCTTAAGGCCTGTGTCTACCATGCTACCCAGTGAGAAATGATTCGTCGATCGATGTCGAAACGATGTCGAATCGACGCCAATTTGACGGTATCGATGCCGATTCGACATCGTTTTGACATCGATCGACAAATCATTTCTCACTGGGTAGAACTTGGTCCAAGTTCTACTTCCGAGAAATGCGTAGTCAATCAACTTGCAGCTTTTGTGGAACAGCTGCAAGTTGATTGGCTACGCGTCTCTCGAAACCAGTACGGGAATTCTGTAACTTGCAATCGATGCTTTTCGGTATCGCTAACTAGCGACAGCCAATGGCGAGGACGATCTTCGAAAGAGACGCAGATTTTCATTGGTTGTTCCCAGTTAACGTTATCGAAAAACCTCGATAGCAAGTTACAGAATTTCCGTACTGAACTCGGACCGAGTTCTAGCATTGTGGACACAGGCCTTAAGACATCTTTTAGACATACATGTCTAGACATATACGTCTAAAAGATGTCTTGAAAATATCTTTATGACGTCTTTTAGACATGTGTGCTGTCTGGGATATCTAGCGCGATTCACGCACGAGATCTATACATCCAAGAATCAAACTCTGCCGAAAACAATTCTACAAAATTCTACAAAAAAATATATACTGCCAGAATCTAAGAAATTCTACGTAAATTAAAAAAGTGTTATAATAAAAATCAACATAAAAACGCTATTGTAGAATTGCAGCACCGACGGCGCTGGAGGCTGGAGTGCAGAGCGCTCAAGCCCCGAAGTTTACATCACCGCAGGTGGCGCGACGGGCGCGGCGCAGCGCGCAGTGACAGGCGGCGCGCGGGGCGCGCGCGACGCAATGGTTTCGCGATCGGAGTAGCGGACGCACGCAGCGGGGTTGACTCACGGCGGAAGAGAGTGAACGCGACGGCCGTGTGCAGCCGCGACATCGCCGAGAGATCGCGGCCGATCATTATCCGGCGGGATATTTTCGCCCGGCGAGGGAGGACACGTGTCCCCCCACCTCGTCCATGCGCGATCGCCGCGAGTCCTCTCCTCGTCGCCGCGCTCGCCGTATAGGTTATATTACAACGCACACGCGAGATCGGGGTAATAACCGACCGGAGGCCGGGGAGACAGAGAGAGAGTGAGTGCGCGTTCAATATATCGATCTCTCGTTATCTCCGCGCGGGACGTGTCACGCGCGAGAGCTAAGAGCGGCCAGGGAGAGACTGCGGAGGAGAGAGAGAGAGAGAGAGAGAGAGAGAGAGAGAGAGAGAGTGTGTGTGTGCGTGTGTGCGTGAGAGAGAGAGAGAGAGAGAGAGAGGTTAGACTGCCTTTTTCATCTTTCGCGAGAGGAGGCTTGGTCCCGCGTACGATCGTTCGACCCGTCGAATCTCGCTCTGCGAGTGGACGGGAGGGACGATCGCGACTTTCGTCGCAGAAGGGCGCGAAAGTCCTCGCCGCGACGTCGCGTCGAACGCGCGGGACCTTGTTCGCGGGGCACCTTGTGTACCGTAGCGTACAACGCGGCGATAACAATTCCGAGGCGAAGGACGAAGCGCCTCGCGCGCGGCAGTAACAGGCGGGATCGTCTATCGTTGCTTTAATAACGAAGAAAAAAAATAAATAAAAGAGGAAGAAATCTCTTATCATTCCGCGCCATCGCGATAATAACGGACGCCGCGTACGCGCGTTTGTCAACGTTTGTACTGGGAAAAATAAACTAAAGAGGGTTAGATAAAGAGATAAGAGGCGAGAAGGCGGAGATTAAGCGGAAACGGAGCGGATTCGGGTCGCGTATCGCGGCGAGCGCGTTTGCGCGAGTAAAACTTTCGGAGCTTCGCTGCGATCTCGGCGAGGAAAGAGAGAGGGAGGCGAGGACGAACCCCTGCCTTCTTTCCGCCTTGCTCTCTCTCCCTCTCTCGTCGGGACAGCCTTCGGACCGTAAGGCAGAGAACGATCCGTAAACTCTCAGGCCTCTGTCTTGGTCGTGGACGTAAAGGCGAGGCGGAGAAAAACTCAAGTCCTCAAGGTCTATTGAATACGACTGGAGGAGTTTTTCCTCTGCCTTGCCTCACGTCTACGACTAATATCTACAATGGGTTCTTCAAGGCCCGGTTTCACCAAACGTCGCTTAACTTTGATCCGAGTTTAATTCACGTTTGTCCCTTTCTGAAGTAACAGTTGGAGAGGGAGACAAAGAACGAATTAAACCGAGCTTAAAGTTAGGCGACGTTGGTGAAGGCCGGGATAAGATTTAAGGAAATGCCCAGTCGCATTCGATTGGATCGTTTTCTTAAGTGTTGCGTCTGAAAAATGTCATCGCGGACGTCGCAGAAGGCGACACACTTAAGAGTTTACGGATCGTTCTCTGCCATCAGCCTAATGACGAAACAACGAGCCGTTACTCGTCAGGCCGAGCTCGCGTCGCCGCCTGCTTCGCTCCTTCTCTCGTCAGGCCCGACCGTTTCCGTTCCGATTGCGCCAAGAATTTGACGTAGCTACGAGAAACGATAGCCAGCGGCTATCGCGCGCGATAACGCCAAGGTATTTTTCGCGTTATCGCGCGCGCCGAGCCCCGCTCGTTGTTGGGGAGCCGCGGCGACAGACCGGGGGCCTTTACGATCGAGGCCGGACGATGATCGCGGGACCTGTTTAATTCGCAGAGATAATCGCCGTTAAGCCATGACGACCGTAGACTCGGACGACGAGATCGAGAAGCTGCCGCATATACAGTGGAGCAGCGCGGCGGTTCCCGGGCCATCCGGCTGTATGTTCCCCGGCGAGATGACACCGTTGGAATGCCAGATAGCCGGCCATCCCTTCAACGGCAAGAAGCAAACCATCGGTGAGCGGTGTGACTCGTAAGATTTGTAATCGCGACCAATTACGGCGGCGCCAGCTCGCGGTCCGCAATTGCGTCCATTTATTTACACCAGGCCTCGTATTATTAATTGGCGATTTCGCTCCAATTTAACGTCCCTGCATATTGAAAAAAAAAACACCATTGTCAAGACCGACCTACATGTTATTTTCGCTATATACGTACACCGGGGCAGGTGCTTCGTTTATCAATAGCGCGTAAATTGCATTCATGTGCGCCGAATGATTCTAACGAAGGATCGTCTGTGATTCGCAGGCATGCTGGTGTGCAGGCGAACCGGCCACGTACTGAAACCGGCGACCAAAGTGATCCTTGGCGAGAGAGAAATCGCATTCTACGAAGACTTGAAGAACTCTCACGATCCCATTGCGACGGAGCTAAAAAAGTTCATTCCGCGTTATTACGGCACAACGGAACTACGTGTCTTTAATAACCGTAAGGATCTTCTTATCGACAAGCCCGCAAATGTGATACGATGACTTTGTGAACAAACTGTGATATAGGACCTAACTCTTTCCAAACACTTTCGTACATCCCGTGCGCGCGTACATGTACACATGTGTATATACATATATATATAAATATATATTTATGTAACTTATATACACATTATTTGTAATTGTAATTTAAGAATCAGTTAATCGAGCGTGAGATGTGAATATAATATTTGGACGGCTAATTATACTCTTTATCTAGATATCTTTTCTTTACTAAACCGTTTTGTCCGATAACAGGTACGAAATTCCTCATGCTTAGGAATATCACAAAGGGCATGGCCGAGCCATGTGTGATAGATATCAAGATCGGTTCTCGCACGTGGGACCCTTTAGCCACGCCAGAGAAGAGGAGAACGGAGGAGCTCAAGTATGCCGAATCGAAGCGTACTTATGGTTTTTGTATAACAGGTTATCAAGTGTATTCTGTCTTGTCCGGACAGTTAAGCAAATATGACAGAGATTACGGCAAGCAACTTGGTGTCGATGGCGTCGTGGAAGGTATCTGCTTTAGAGTTTTAGGAGACATACCGAGTCGATAAGAGAAAAAAACACACAAAATGAATAACTGTTCGATGCACATGAATCCAAGATTCATAAGTATTAAAAGGCTATTTCAGGTTGTAGGGGGTGGTAAATTTTCTTAACTGGAATAGCCTACTTTTCCTTACATTAAGTCTTTCAACTCATTTATGATTGATCACGAGTCGAGAAGATTAGTGTATTCAATTTTGATACCGATGGAACAAAGTTTTAACTGTAAAACGTTGACAGGAGCTATTCCGTTATATCTTTACAAAAAAAGTATAACTTAGGAATTATAAATATAACTGATCTCGCAAATCCATTTCATTTCTTATACTATTTATAATTTGATTGATTCAGACTTTACTAAATTATTTTACCACCAAGAGATAATAATTGCACATTGGCACGCTAGGAACTTAACACACTAATCGTTAGCTCGAGCGCATAAACAAGAAAAAAAAAGGATGTTTATGACGTGTCGTATCTAATCTAGTGATAAGACTGTTAAGCTTCCCATTTTTCGACATAGTGTTAATATTCTTCTTGTCTTCACGCAGCGCTGGAAAGCTTCTTGAACTTAATACCTGGAAAACTAGTCTGTCGGCAATTGGTCTCCGAAATCTTGACATATCTATACAAGATCGAGCGATTCTTCAACATGCAGCGGAAATATCGCTTCTATTCCAGCTCACTTCTGGTCGCCTACGACGCCCAACACTTACGGCAGCATTGTCCATTAAATGATGATAGTTCTGTTCCTCATTCAGTGCCGAAATTCAACAAAGAAATGTGTGAATCGGTTCCTTGTACAGTACCTAATCAGCATTTATCTGGAACGAACGATTTAATGTTTAGACCAAGGATGAAGAAAAGTGTAAGCGAGCCCAAGTCGATATCGCGCGAGCAGATACCTAATCAGGGCAAATCCTGCAATTCGAATACCAATGTGGACCGGTTATGTCGCTCGAGCCCGAGCCATTTTTCATATTCGCGCACGGACGATGTTGCGAAGAAAGATGATGAAAACGTTCCAGTGGACAAGTGCAAGTGGGTCAAAGTGAGAATGATCGACTTCACACACGTCTTCCCGGGAGAAAATAACGACTTGGATCGAAATTACCGGAACGGCCTCCAGATGCTAATCCAGCTCTTAATTATGATCAAGAAGAGCGATTGTATGCACTGAAGTTGTTTCTCCCTATCAAAGAATGTATTACTTGTGACGATGTTCCCGAAAGTGAACGGAGAAGATTGTAGAAGATAAGATTCAAACAAGGATATATTGATATGACGATGTGTCATCCGTGTTATCGGTTCCGGATATCAGAATGACATATCGAGACATTATAAATCAATAAAAACAAAATCTTTGACAACAATTGTTATATCAAAAGAAGACAGTGTTCATTGTAGAAGGCGATAGCTCTTTGATGAAAAGAAAATACTGAATTTCAAAGACTTGTAAAAGAATTTCAAAGACATGTAAGGCCGGAAAACTGCAATTTGATTAACGAAACTTGAGGCAACATATTTCTCTCAAAGGTTTGATTGCTATAGCAATTACTCGATACAGAGTCAAGTGCCGTACACTAGGACTCTTCCGCGAGATTAAAAACTAGAGATACACAGAGAAGTAGCCTAACTGGGCACGCAATCAATTCTGAATCGGATTCCAGAAGGATGTCTTCTTTAGGATAAAATGATTAAGACTTTTATACTTTGCCAAAAGAAATTGTAACGCGATGTATAGAGTACCCAGGAATTTTGACCCTTCGCGTTTACCATGTGAAGACTTAACAAATTTAGAACCGGGCACAACGGAGGAAGATAGAGAATATTCTAAATATCCAACAGCCGTTCGCGCGACTTTCACATTATGGCGACAATAAGTCGCACTTTGTAAACATGAACACACCGTACTGGCGAGAAGTTCTTTAATGGTACCATTACCAACTCTGCCATGTTATACATATTTATGTTACACGCATTACGTGATGAAGAAAAGTGCAGATTACTGTAATTGTAACAGCAGCAATAAAACATTACGATGTAAAGTGGGGCGCGAGTATTTATTGAACGTTCTATTGGTACTCACGGTAATGAAGCAAAATCCGGCAAAACTCTTAGATGTCTTATAATTTCAAAAGATTAATCGAATTCTTCGTAACGTTAATAAATAGTATTGCACACCATTAATTTCCAAGGATCTCTAATAACACTTTCATCATCCTATCATAAATACGAAATGAATACTCACCGTCTCTCTCACAGTGGCTATGAAATAACGATTACCTTATATCCGACGATAGTAATTTTATCGTTATTCATTTTTCGCAGCTACTCCTTTCCCCGACTCGGCGTTGCGTGAGTAGCGAGTAGCCTCGTTTGTCGTATAATATTTTTATTCGCCATTCATTCGTAAACAGTTTTTACAGATCGTCAACGATCGGCGGGCGCGCCGTTGCGACGTAATCAACCGCGATAATAATTAATAATAATAATTTGCTTAATCTCTCGTATAACACTTACAGTAATACGCGCGTGCCACTGACGCACGCTGGCGCGCGTGTGTGTGTGTAGGTGTGTGTATTTTAGAATGCCACGCGAGAACCACGAGTGTACGCGCATACACACGCGCACGTACACACACACCCGTATATACATATATAGAATTGCTCATCTCGATCGCATTTGTCTTCTCCGCTATACAGCATCCCTTTTACAAAGCCTCGCGCTCGCCTCGCTACGCTCTCTCGTTCAATTTCGATAAGTGCTTTAATCGAGAGCTGATCGGAACTTATTTGGGATACACACTTCGCTCGTCCATAACGAGGTCGGGGGGCTGGCTTCTTTGGAATTAAGTTGTGCAGCTTGAATTCCATCTTATCGGGGTTTCCCCATTAAGCGATAAGGAGACGATTGAAGAGTAATTGAATTTCGATGCGGAATCGGCAGAATTCAGAATCCGGACAGACGGAAGTTTACATTTTCATTTGCAGGCCGGCGGAGTCGCCGTTGAAAAGTCAATTAATTGCAATCACGACAGGATTATATGCGTAATTAGCATTATCAAGCCGGTTTACAAGCCGGGCGGCGGCCGACCGGTAATCAATTAAACAAATTACAACGTCCGTTCGCGCCGGCAACGCGAACGGCCGTTCGAGCTTCGCAATTTTCAGCTTCCTCCACCTCGCTTCTCGCCGCTCGGGGAGATTCCCGTTGATTAGTCGTGCTTAATTAAACGGGACCGCGAACAATAACGAGATAATAATATAAGTAGCCCTATATCACATAGTAAACGCAGGCGCAACAATAAATATTGCAATAAAAACGCATTAAATAGCTAAACGTGTAACGCAATAGTTCCGTAGGAAACCGCGGGCTTTCTGTTAGTGCGTGCGACAAAATGCGCATCATGCTAGACTACCAATTGTTATACGGCGTAGTCGAAACGTCTCTCCCATTCGCGCATTCTATTTACGTAGGTATATAATTACAAAGCGATTCGATTGAGCGATGGCGAAATCGTTTCCGTCCGTCGCTACGTTTCCCGCCGCGACTCGGGGGGATGAACGAGGAAACACCGTGGTAAGAAGACAAGATCGCTTCGCTACGAGGCAAATGGCAATAACAAACGAGGGACGCGTCACGCGCGTCGACCCGACGATAGGATTTCTCCGGCCCTTCCCGTCGATCGACCGCGTGGCGTTCGCATCCTCGCCCGCGCGACGCGCTTCCCCTTATTATAATAATTAGTCTCGCTGTAACATTACGACTAACGGGTTAATTCGCCCATGATTACTTCAGTTTACTTTATTAGCTGCTACTTTCATTTAGGTCGATATATTTTACGTACATAACTATATATAAATACAGCAGGCATTCGTTATGTATTTACAGGTCGATCAACGCACCTCTTTTTCCTGTTGCTTTACGTTCTCTCTCATTTTTCCTCGCTTTTTCTTAGCACACACATTCGCTTATATTTTTCCTCTCCCCTCTCTCTCACACACACACACTCTCTCTCTGTCTCTCCTGCGACAATTTCGCGAATTCTCGCGGCGAAGGAGCGGGCCGTCTGTTATTGGATTATTAAATTAAAGTCGTTCCCCACGCGTCTTCAGTCTTATAAATTCCAATTATCTGCGCTAATGACTCGAACAATTTTTCTAAGCGTCAATGACGCGTTAATTCACTTGTCGTCGTGACGAAATAATCAGTAACAGTACTAAACGACGTATAAAAATAACCGAACCAGTGAGAACGGAAAGGGAACACGCGACACTTTGACCGAAGTCGAGTCAACAATGGGTTTCGGCGTAAGGCCGAGATGTTGAAAAATTTCTCTCAATAGAAGCTCACTTTAGGGGGGCGAAGTGGCGCGAAACCTATCGAAAAGAATTCGAATTATACTTGTAAAACGGTTTCCTGCTTTTTTTTCCCCCTCGAACGTGTGATCTCGTCGCCTTCCGTTCCAACCGATTTAACGTCGAGCGTTAACCGCGCGGAAGTGTCGCGACAGATCCGGCGAGGTCGAAGACACTCGGCATTGACGACGGCGGGTCGCAAGGACGAGGCGTCGCGCGCACGACTCCGGTTCGCCTGAACGCGCGCCGTCTAAACTCGCCCGACAAAGGCCGCGACGAAATTGAAGAATTACGACGGTAAGCTCGAACAATTGCGCGGAGAGGCCCGGGGAGGCCCACGCTGAATTAGGCTCTCCGGCCTCGCCCGCGCTCGCCCGGGATTTCGATCTTATTAGCGCTCTGAAAGGAAGGACCTCGGCCGGACAATGGCGCGTCCGATTGCGAAAGTGAATCGGACCTGTCGCGCGAGGTTGGCCGATTCAATGGATACCTAAGTGACCCAATTGGACGCCGCGCTTTAAAGCGGATTCGCAGTTTTGATAATCGCGTAGCAGCCCGGCGCGACGGCCGTCCTCCCCTCGGATCTGGTTCCCTTCGAAACTCTACGCGCCGCGCAGTTTCCCCCGCCTCCCCTTATTTTTAGCACTCCGGCGGAATAATATCCGATCGAGTTCGCCGGAAGGATAATACAGATGCCAAGATGATGCGAGAGCCTACGACGTAATACTCCGCGGAGTCCCGGGAACAGCCGGGAGAAACAGCCAACTATCTCGAGGCTCTCGAAAGGTCTGCGTCCGTCCTGAAATTACCTAGGCGCATTTCGCTCTCAATTTCGAACGCCCCGCCCGCTCCCTCGCCCGCCGCTTCGCGCCCGGCGTGTTATCCTAACAGCGTGGAGTAAATGTTTACAAAACTGCTGGATATCTTCGGTGAGCCCGCGTTAAAACGTTAGAGGCGAGTACACGGCGGATTAAAATTACAAAAGGAGAAGAAGAAGAAGGCCAAGCTTTATCTCTCATTTTCTCCTCACTCTTTCTCTCTCGCAAACACACACGCACGCACATACATATGCTAGAAATACACGTGTAGCGAGAAAGCGGCCGGTTTCGCACCGTTATGCGGGGGTGGCCGCCCCGGCGGCTCCTCCTCTCGTCCGGAGAAGCCACGACGCTACGGCCAGGGATATTCAGAAAGGCACTCGGCACCCCTCGACAAAGATCCGGAAATCAAATGTACAAAACGAATACGGCGTCGCCGGAGCGTCGCGGAGTCGTGCGGCCACCGTCCGGAGATAACGATGGCTCTCTTCCACGTTGTCGCTAGAGACCCTGCAATCAAGGACTTGGCGGCCATAAAAGTTCGTCAAATTCCCGCGAGTGAGAGAGAATCGTAGAGGAGCGAGATGTTTCTCTCTCACTCGCGGGAATTTCACGAATTCTTACGGCCAGTCTCGGATTACAGGGTCTCTAGTCTTGTCACTAAACTACCCTTTGCTGTCTCACGGTAACGCGGGGTCGATCGGGACGAGACGCGGGGGGGCAAACGCACGACACCGTGGCCACTTTTCACTCGGAGGGGGGGGGGGCGGCGGCAAAATTGAGGGGGATTCATTTCTAATTGTATCAGTTGAAAACACCTTCGGTCTCTTCGGAAGACGACTACCGTGACGTTATTCAGGCCGCGTAAAGTCCCAACTGAAATCACCGACGGTATAAAATTGCTACGTCTGGCAAGTGTCGTAAAAAATTAATCATCCACTTCCAAATAATGCGCGGATTGGAAAATGTCACGGTGTCGCAATCGCCTCGGAATCTGGACTGTCCTGACTGACTTGACAAAAAAAAAGCGACTCGCCCGATTCGAGTGTAAACGCGTGACGCTTCGCCACGAGAACGTCGGTTTTTCTTTCGCGGGGTTTCCAGCATGGCGGAAACGCCTTCGCTCTTCGCTTCTCTCGCGGCGAGTCAATGTGCGGATTTTGCGCGCAAGCGACAGCACAGTATCCTTAGTCCTAATCAGATGCAGCTATCGTGTAATATCATCAAATCGCTTCGAATCGAGAATGACTGGGGCATCGAAAAAGATCTCGTGTTAGTCATGGAACACTTTGGGTGCTAAAAAAAAAACCCGACAGCATCGGAGATGCTCGACATTCGTTACTCTGGCGTTACCGAACCGCGATCGTGGATCACAGCCGACGGCTCTCGACTCGAAATTAGTCGCCGAATTAATACCGCGAAAAATATGTAAAAAAGCCACGATGAAGAGGGGGGGGGGGGGGACGAACGAACGAGGCGAGACTAAAAATGCACACGAACGTCAAAGGTACATGCAAATTTAGCATCTCGCGGTGTATTGCGATCGTGCGGTGCGCGGCATTGTGATTGAAAGTCGTAAAATAGCCGGCTCGATTAATTCGCGCGTTAAAATCGCTCGTCAACGGGACGGGGGGGAGGGTAAATCGAATTTGGCACACCGCTTACTTTTACAATTAGCCAGCGCATTGACGAGATTGCGAAAATACGCATGACTCATCTCGACGATGAAAAAAAAAAATCGTCACCGCGCGTTCGAGTATTGATCGAGCTCTATTACATCAGCTCTGAATATTAAGATGCCTTTTTTTTTTAAACACTTCACACGCAGGACAATATAAATGCACTATGCCGCAACCTTTCGACAAATGTCGCTCGCTACTGTTACGACACGTAACGATCGGTATCTCTAGATTATCGCTTTGTCTCGCGAAGGAAGATCTGCAAAAGTGCCGCGCTGCTGATTAATTTTCATTGCGAGCTCGAGACGTCGCTCAACGACGGTTGAAAAAATTTTAATCCTCTTCGGCTCGCGAGATCGCAATCAACAATAAGATTGAGGTGACAGCGTTGTACGAGTGATGGGGGGAAAAAAAGTACGCATATCTTTCGAGCGGACGTCTAGCGATCCACGATCGACGACTACCAGACCGGTCGCCGATGCATAAATGGCAATGCTTACGTATTTTAGAATTCACGGCGATCGTGATCTACTCGAGGACGCTTCGGCGGTAGGTAGGGCGAACCTCGCGACTTTCCTCTCTTTTCTTTTTCGACTCGGCAAAATTTGTCCGCTGCGCTATAAAGGCCCCTTTTCTTTTCTAGGAAGATTAATGTGAGGGGATTAATCACAGAAGTTTACGCACACGCAGAGAGAACACACGTCCCGTGCTGGCACCCGGGGATCTCGTTCGCAGAGCAGCGAAGTTAACCGCGTCGTCCCAAGTAAATCAGCTCTCGATCATGTACGTATACGTTTTAGGTCTCGTTTCACCGAACGTCGCTTAACTTTAATCTTGGTTTAATGCACGTTCGTCTCTTTCTAAAGTAACAATTGGAAAGAGACACAGGACGAATTAAGTTAAGCTTAAAGTTAAACAACGTTGGTGAAACCGGACCTTAGTTAACTTTCATGCACACGACGTACATGTATATACATATATGCGTCGTATAAATATCTATATCCACGTGATATATATATTATATAATTGTATATATATCGTACATAGATATATACATATATACGACTTTATACGCGCGTGTGTGTGTACACATATGGCATTCGCGTTATCGTCGACGACGGATGATTATGGCCTCCCCTCGTCGTTTTCAATAATAATGCGCGATACATCGACGCCCGCCTGAACGAGACGCGGCGACGTCACCCGGCGAAAAAGACACTTCTTTCCTACTTTATACGCGAAAGAAAGAAAAAAAAGGAACAACCGGCACGCGAATTACGAGGCACACCGACGTGGCTGTTCGCGGCCGATTGGCTCGACAGTAACGATATTCGTACGACTTCTGCGAGTCGTAGGAAGTGAAGGTAAAATACTTTCGTTTCCATGTACATACTCTCATCTGGCATTCGGCACCGGCTACGTGACCGCGCGAGATCGAATCCGGTTCATAAATCAGCGAAGGCCTGACTTTACAAAAGACAAGCGTCTAAAAAAAAAATAAATACAAAACTTTATCTTACAAATAGCCAAATAGCAGTAAAGTCAAACGAAAAAGAAGAAAAACGTTTGGAAATTAAGGAGTTACCAATGTCAAACGTATTGCAGACACTTGATAGTTTTCGAACGAAACGTGTGGTCCTTCCTACACGCCTTCTATCTCCGTAATTAAGGGAAAAGATTTAATTCGAGGCTAAGGTGGACGACGTCCTTCGGAGCATTCCGCGTTAAACTACAATCGGTCATTCCGTTCGTGAAGGCGCGAACGCGGGGTTTGTCACTGGAGTTGGTCCATCGGCGCATCTCCTCCTTCCCTCTCGCTCCGCAAACCCTCCACGTAATTATAATAATTTTGTTTTCTTAGGCGCTTCTCCAGCGAATCGTTCGCTTTTATCGCAAAGCTAACGAAACGTACACCCGATATAACAAAGAGGAGATGACGCTTCTCGAAGCCATTTCTCAGAGTGCCGCGCGACACACTTTTCCCCTCTCGCGAAAGATAAACGGAGTCGGACAGCGGACTCGTCGACCTTCGGATCGGAAGTTTTGTCCTCCCTGGAGCCGGCGATCGATGGCTCTGCCGCGACCATCCCGCATTCTTATGTAATACCGACACTCGGCGCGAGTGCGCTCCGTTTGACAGAGACTTTTCTCTCTTAGGCCTATACATTTTCGCGACTCGCCTCGCGAGAAAGCGCGCGTGGAGTCAGTGAGATAACGGGTGTACCTGGCATTTCCAAATCGGAACGTGTCCCTATGGTACCCTTTTCTTTCGGCTAGCGATTTGATTATGAAAACGCGCGCGACTCGTAATTTCAATAATTTCCTTGCGCGGCTTCGCGTTTGAGCAACGCTAATCCAATGCTTCGCGCTTCGTTTGCGGAGATAAAAGCGCGAATCTCGAAAAACCGGAAGGACAAAGTGACATGCGAAATACTGACCTGCGTTCCTATAGCCGGGCTTTTAACTTGCGGTGATATTCTATTCTCCTCAACTCCCTAGGGTCAATGTCACTTGTCCCTTCAAGCATAAATACCGCGCGTCTCGCAAATTTACAAGCTTGAAAGAAGTCCTCTCTCCCGAATGTAAACTTTGTAAAGAGTTGCATTTGTGCATTTGCTAAAAAAATTTAAAAAAAACATTAATTTCAAGTTCTGCCCGAGGCAAACGCGTTACGCGCTCCAGTTCCACGGTATCGATATCCGTGTGCACGGGGGAAAAAAAGGGAAGAAAACCAGAGTTTCCGTCGACAAAACACTGCACCTGGAAAAAACATCGCGAGATTTATCATCGCGTTTTACAAGCGCGACGTCTCAGACTCAGTTCGCCCATCGCTTCTTTCCGCTTTGCCGTACGCTCTTTTCTCTTTCCCTTTCCCGTATACTTTTAGAACCACCCTTCTCTCTCTCTCTCTCTCTCACACACAAACACACATGCATGCACGCCGTGCATATACACATACACATATTCCACGCGCATCGATATATCACTGAGAACCGCGGCGTCCTTCCAGCGGGATCGCGGCAGGAACAGTTCGCTTCGCTGCCCGACACGCCACCGATAAATTATCAACGGCATCGCTTGTACGCGATTCCGGCGGGCGGAAGCTGCCGGTGAACCTCCTTACGAGGCAGCTCATCGGCATTCACGCACGCCGGAAGAATCCCGCGCGAGGAACCGGATAGGTCCGACCTGCTAACAATCCCTCGATCGCGACAGAAACTAGTTTAACTCTCTCCTTATCTACTGGCCGCCTACGTCGGCCGTAAATCGCGATCGAAATCGTATCTCTCGTTCCGGCGACGCGACCGATTAAGCGATAAGCGATGCGCAGACGATAGCGAGGACCGCGGATGATAGCAAGACCGTTGACGATCCAGCGTGGAGCGGACCGTTCGGGTGAGGCTTCATCGACGTGTCTGAAATGAAGAATCGCACATTTATTCTTGGCAAATACAAGTTCCCTCTCTCGTAACAAAACGAACGTTTCTGTCACCGGTGAATCGGGCGATTCAAAAAAGGGTCACGAGATCAAAAGATTTTTTTTTATTTATATCAATTTACCTATACATGGATACATCTAACTTTAAAGCATTTGGATTTATTCATACTTTGAACTCTCAAAAGTCAATATCCATGTACAGGGAAGTTGCGCAAATAAAAACCTTTTGATGCCGTGGCATTTTTAAATCGCTCCACTCACTGGTTCGCCCTGTATAATTAGGCAAAAGAAGCGAGCTAGAAAGAAAGGGTTTCTCCAGCGTTATTTTAGAATCGCCCGTGCCCTTCCGTTTCTCGCATCGCTAATTTTTATCTCCCTTTATTTCCCCGGTGCTTCTCATTATCAGTCCGAATCCGTTTCATTGTTCCAATCCTTTTTGTTGAAATCCATTCTCAAACAATATTCAACGTGCATCGCGCGTGAAATGTATCTCGTAACGGAGTCACGCTAGGATATCGAGATATGTCGTTATTTTGCAGTTGCCTTTTCATCGCAACATAATTAAATTGTACTAATAATGCCTTTTCATTAAAAAAAAATGTTCTCCCCCTTCTCTCTGTCTTTTGTCAGCGTGTATCGAATAATGCGCCACTCGATACGCGCCATAGAACCCCGAGAACGAAGTCCTATATCGCCGATAACGACACTCGATACACGCCGCGCACAGGATTCATCCGACAATGGAGCTCCCAAACCAGAAATGCATCCGACATTATCGAAATGCAAATCAGTGCACGGCTCGCACGGGATACGGTACCTGTCGTGGTGGGGCCCATTCCGGAGCCGGACGCCTCGTCGTCGTCGTCGCGATCGCGGCCGTCCTCGTCGTCGTCGATCTCGCCGTTGCCGTGCGGCCTCCAGACCGCGCTGTCCCCGCTCCCGGAACCAGCCTCGTCGGCCAGGAAGCCGTCGGGCCCGAGGTCGGATACCAATTGGGTCTGCACCACCTGCCGCGGGAACACGCAGAACGTGGACACACGTGAGTCATCGTCGCGCGAGTGTGTTACTTGGGCATTTCAGACCGTTTCTAAGGGCACGTCCGCTACAATTGCTTCCCAGAAAAATAGGAGCCAGCGCGAGACGTTACGTGTGAAATATACATATAAAATTTTATAATTCACAATCAATTGGCAATCACAATTAATTTATGACTGGAGGAAATCTTATAAGTCGCCAGAAGATACTTAAAAACTTCAAAAGATTACTTGACCATGTCTGGCCAATTTTTATGTTTAAACTCGCAACGTTTCGACGGTTGGTGATCCTTTTCAAGTGATCTAGCAAAGAAATTAAGATCAGTTCTTTTGATTTGCCATACGGATTTACTGACGCAACTGTAAGTTTCTCTCTCTTTACGTTAAATAAATCTCTCTCGTTTTATGTCCTTTCTGTGTGCAACACGACACTTTGCGTCAGCCTCCAACAATGCGATGCGCATTGATACTGAGTTGAATCATGACTTCGACAAAACCATTTTCATAACATCTACACTGAGAAAAATTTGCACCGGATAAACCTATTAAATAGTGTTTCCGATGGTTAATTTTTCCGATTGCGTTTTTCGATTAAATTACGGATACATCCGGTGAAATTTATCCGATGAAATGCAGTTACCGATGAAATTTGACTGAAAAACCGATCATATATTTCATCGGGTATTCGTTTGTTATTATGTAATTGGATTATCCGATTAAGTATATGTATTTAATCGGACATTTTTCTCAGTGTACATATGCTATATACTCTCGCATTAACAACGATAATTATATCTCACCTTTGTAAATCTTTCCTACATTAATGTCGCCAATCTTACTTTACTTCTCAATCTTTGTACTTCCGACTTTAAGTTATGCAACTTATTTATTTGTCAACTTACTTCTCGTCAATCTTACTTCTCAATCTCTATACTTCTGACTTTAATTTATGTAACTATTTATTTGTTAACTCACTTATGTATCAACTCTTTATTAAAACTACTTGTAATTTCTTTGTTAGATCACTTGAAAAGGACCACAAATCACGGTCGAAACGTTGCGAGTTTAAACATAAAAATTCTGAAGTAATAATTTATATTTCGATGTATTAAATCTTTATATATTTCACACGTAACGTCTTGCGTGGACTCCTATTGCCTATTTTTCCGTGTTCGTTTCTTATTTTATTATTGGAGTCTGTTGATCTTTCTTGATCATTACTTCCCGTTGCCACAATTACTTCCTACCGTCTATAAATAGTATCACGTTATCGAGGGACGAGACGCTAATTGTTATCAATCGTCGGAATACTGCACTCGTTAGACAAGAGCAAGGTGACTACAAATTACAACTTGACTGCGTGGAACGGAAATCGCCGAGTGAGCGTGCGATAACGCGCAATTTCCCGAAATTAATGGCCATTACGCAGTCTCGTCCGGGAAAAGTCTGCCGGGCGCCCAGCTCGGCAACCGCCGCGCGTGATCGCGAGGAGAGATGATAGGGATTAGCTTTGTCATTGGTAACTCATTACGCCGTTCCCATTTACCCGAGGATCTCAATTAACTCACTTGACCCAGCGCGGATACAAGCGGCGTCCGATTAATCGCCCCAAAACTCTCCACTTCGGGCGCACCTCGTCGCATCGCGCGAACGCGACGGAGACGTGGATTTATACTCCGCTAAAATCGGTCAAGCAGCCTCTAATCTCGCGCTCTCCCCCCCCCCCCACACACAACTCGTAATCATTACTTAATGCTTGCACCTGCCAATAATACCTCGAGTTCTACTATTCACCCGGTTATGCGACCCGCCCGATCGCTGCGGTCGCGTTCTACGCACATACAGGGTGTTACGGATAAGATGTGCATCCGCTCGTATACGAGTAGAGCGGGTGAAACTGAAAAGGAAAGTTATGTACCATTTTGTAAAATTCGCAATAGTTATTGAGTAATTAATTAAAACGTCCGAGCGAATGAGCGCGAGGAAAGGCGGTAGGCCGGACTCGGCGGATATTAAGGGGACGCTGGAGTGAAAACATTTGTGTAATATACAAATTACGTGGCTTTTGTGTACAGACCGATAGTGTCCCACTATTCAGGTTAAGTGAAAGAACAGCATGGTATCATTGAAATTAAGTTTAGGAGCTTAACAAAATATCTATTCACTCGAATAAGTTATAGGTTACAGGTTAGAACCTGCAACTTATATTACACAAATGTTTTCATGAATTGACAGTTCTAGGAACAAAAGGTGCCAAAAGTGCAGGATCACTCCAGCATCCCCTTAATATCCGCCGAGTCCAGCCTACCGCTATCCTCGCGCTCATTCGCTCAGACGTTTTAATTAATTACTCGACAACTATTGCGAGTTTTACAAAATGGTACATAACTTTTCTTCTCAGTTTAACCCGCTCTACCTGTATTCGAGCGGATGAACACCTTATCCAACACCCTGTATACGGTGTGCGTATTTGCGAACGACCGTTCGCAGTCCGGGGAATCCCGGAGTGGATCTCCCGGCGACGATCTCGGCCCGCGTTACGGAATCACTAAGTTTATTCGGACGAGCCGTTTATCGGCGAGCGATCGCGCTCGACGGCACGCGGCCAGATCGATCACGGACACCGTGTATACACGCGTATATGCGTGTCTCACGACACTCTAATCAGAAGTAAGCGGCCCGATTCCTCGGCACGCGAATTAACATGCGTGTGGGCACTGTGCGTGTGCCCCACACGCGGTGGTTGCCAACTTTAATCAACGCCGCGTGGACAGCGTGGAAGAATACGAAGCGGTTGAGAGACGAAGGTGACACCAACCCGTGATCGAACTTGTTTAAAAGTTGAGAGGCTTATTTGTTTAGAAATCTGCCCCTAATCTTCATTCTCTCTTCAAGTTTCTATAATTTTGCAGTCTATTAATTTTATATATTTATTATAGCTGCAAAGATAATTAAAAATGCAACACTTACCGCTCTCGTGTCTATTTCTATTGGGTCATCCCGTAAATAATGCAGCGCACAAGAGAGCTCGATTTGCTCTTCAGCTCAAAACCGAAAGACTTTTATCGTCAGCGAATAGAAAGATGTCGTGAATAATAATGGAAAATATATCTTGGACTAAAATTAAAATGTCAAATTTCTTTGCTCTCATTGTAAAAGTATCTCTAAAAAAATCACGTTACTCGGGACGATCCAATAGCAGCGTACATCAACCTTTAATCTCGGCTAAACTTCCTTTTTATCTTTTTCTAATTCTTAGAACTAGAAAAGGATAAAAAGTAAGTTCATCCGCGATTAAAGTTCATCTGCAGTTATAGACATTGGCATATATCAGCGCGCAGCGATTACGAATATCATGCGAGTAATGAGAGATTTTCTACAATTAATTGTTGCAAAACTTATCATTTTATTATTATTGTGATTGCTCTCACGCCGCGTGTTTGTATACTTCTATCGAACGGGTTTGAGCACCCACGTGCTCTTTCAGGTGAAATCCATCCACGCAACGCGACACGTGCCTCGACATACCGTCTGCGATCCCGGCTCTATGAATAATTCTAGATTAGACGAGAATTTATGATTCGTCTGGTCCGTACGTCTGGCAGTCACGGGTCACCGGGCGAGCTTTCCGCACCAATGCCGCTATCGCGATAACAGTTTACGAATTGCGACAAATCGCGCTGCACGGTGAGATCTGCGTCCAACGCGGAAGCGAGAGAACAATTTTTAACGAACCCACCCTGACATCTCGCGTTTTTAATTCAATTCCAAAACGGTAACAAAACAATTTTATATAACTTTATAATTATTATAACTTTATTTACAAAAATTACATGTGTTTATACGCCGTTCCTTTTATGTCAACATCACGAATGTGCAACTGTGCTTTTTAAAAATTGCGAACTGTCATTGTTTCAATTGTAAAGTTCCAAAATTTATGATATTGGCATAAAAGGGACGATATATACTCACACATATAAAATTATGATAATATCATAAATTAAATATATATATTTAATTTATTAATTACATTTGCTATAATATTGAAATCAGCACACGCAGAAGGGGAATTTTTCATTTTACCAAATTTCAAAAGAAGGAAGAACGTGACTTTTGCTCTTTAATCATCGTGGATTCCTCTTCGACGAGAGCCGACCGCCTGTTGTTCGTCGCACGGCGTTTGAATCGGCAAACGAATGAAAATTGCGGCACGATTTAATCCGAGGGAGAGGAATCCACTTAAGACCTCAGCGACGAATTACGGCTTCATGTACTCACCTGATTAATGTGCCTCAATTGGTCAATGAGCGCGCTGGTGTTCACATTGCCGGAGTAGGTAGCCGGCGTCGACGACATCGTTATCGTGAATTCAGGATTGTATCGTTGAGCGTTCAGACTGGAATCTACCACGGTTTTCGTGTATCTGAAATGAGAAAATAAAGACATACGATTGTAATGAAGTCGAACTAATTTCGCAAAACTACATGTAGATAATTTTGTAAACGAGAGATGAATGAAACCATGCAATAAGGCGTCGAGATAATCTTTACTGTAACACAATTATTTATCTATTATCTATTGTAAGAAATATAAATGCGAAATTTCCAACTGAATATAGAATTAATATATAGAAAAGAAATGCAGTAGATGTTGCGAAATGATGTGATAATCGTGTTATCAGACCGTCGCGTTCAGATACTTGACTGCGAAAACGCGAGTACGCGTTGTAACGTTTCAAATACAACGATCGCCGAGTTATGAATAGAATCCGCCGCGAGTGAGCACTTCTTCCGCGAGACCAATTGCGTAAATCACGAACGTTACTTCGATATCTCGCGCGCATGGCTTCTATCTTCCCGTACAAAGATAAGCTCTCGCATCTCCGCCCACAGATAAATTTGTAAACCAAGCAGGTGAATACAGGCTGCTGCGTGTATTCGTTAGAATCTTAAGGGGATCCTAAAGCCGTCTGTTTTATCGACATTCTTTGTTAGAAGTAATCTTTTAATTAAATAGCTTCCTAGAAATGCAAACTCTTTCGAGAGAGGTCGCTGCCACACATCTGTCAGATTGTCAGTAAAGCCACGGTGTTGACGATGCTAGAACTCGATCGAAAATCTCGGTCTGAGCAATGTGTAGTTAATAAAATTGCTGCTTTTTCGTAAAACTTGCAAATTGATCGGCTATAAATTTCTCGGATCGAGTAGAACTTGGGATAAAAAATGTCGATAATTGACGTTTTTAATGCCGCCTCCTATCTTATCGACACTGATCGAGTTCGCCAGCGGCTTTAGGATCCCCTAAATGAGGCGTAATATCAGCCGTACTTGCGAGCAACTAGATGACGCGCAGTCGAAAGACACGGTCGTTCGGATGTTCTCGACTCACTCCGGTCTCTCTTCTCAGATACGTGGGATTTTCGAAGTCAATCTCGCCCGCCGAAAAAATAAAATTAGAAATCGATTTCCCTCGCACGCCATAATCTCGGCGCACTGCTCCTATCCCCGGCGTCGTCCGCTCCGCGCTGATATTTCGCAGAAATGCGACGCGAGCGAAGTCGATCCCGGCGCGCGTACACCGCGCATCCATCCGAGCGCGCGGTTATCTTCCGCGCTTCTATCTTGCGCGGGGTGCTGACCGACAAAAGAGACAAATCGCTTCGTGCCGCTTCGCGGAATACGCCTTCCGCTTTTCGATCGCCACGCGATTAAGCGCCTGCGAATCAATGAACCGGGAACAAATATATCCGCGAATACTCCGCAAGTCGACGTGATATACTTCGCTCTCGCGGGCTTCACGGAGAGCAGCCGTTTCACTCGCGTTGCATCGTTCTTTCTTTTTACGCATAATGTTTTCCCTTTATCGCGACACGCGCTATATAATCGTAAACTGCGAGATACGAGCTAACGTATATTTATGTGTCGCGATGTCGAGTGAGAGTTGCCAATGCTAAATGTATTAATCAACGAAACCATCCAAGTTGTTAATAATAATAATTCATTTCAGCTGCAGCATACATGCTAAGAAGTGGACTTGGTTCATAAACAGTGCCTTCACTCCCATTCGTATCTTCACCCACCCTTGTAGCTATTCTGCCTACCTACGGCAACTCACGTTTTTAACCGCGTACATTTTCCGTTCACGCACACTTCCTATTTAACTTTCTTTTTACTTCTATTTACATCCCCAATTCCGTGCTTAATTATTGCTATCCCTAATCATCGTCATCATCATGGCCGGCTCTACAGCCCCAAGTGGTCCCTGGCCTTCACAACAAATCGCCTCCATTTCACGTCCAATCCTCTGCCAACCCCCTTTTCGGAGAAATGGATATGTGTGTGGCAGAATACTCTCGGTGGTTACCACTTCCCTTCGAGAGATTTAAACTTAGATCTTCTCGTTCATTTGTTTACCAAGGGCCAGCTTCACAAACGTCGGTCAACTGTTAAGGGGATGCTGGAGTGGTTCTGCCCTTTTGGCACCTTTTGCTCCTAGAACCGTCAATTCGTGAAAACATTTGTGTAATATACAAATTATGTGGCTTTTGTGTACGAACCGACAGTGTTCCACTATTCGGACTAAATCAGAGAACAGCATGGTATCATTGAAATTTAGGAGCCTAACAAGAAGTCTATTCACTCGATTAAGTTATAGGTTACCTAACTTACTCGAGCAAATAGATGTTTTGTTAGGCTTCTAAACTTAATTTCAATAATACCATGCTGTTCCTTCACTTAATCTATATAGTGGGACACTGTCGGTCTGTGCACAAAAGCCACATAATTTGTATATTACACAAATGTTTTCACGAGTTGACAGTTCCAGGAGCAAAAGGTGCCCAAAGTGCAGAATCACTCCAGCATCCCCTTAACCAGAGTTCAGTCAACTTGCTATCTTTTTCCATCTTATTATTTAAGAAGAGACAGAGAATCAATTAACCTTAGGTTAGCAGTTAACCGACGTTTGTGAAACTCGCTCTAAGCAGCGCACATTTCTCTGCGCCACGCTCGCCGCCCTAATCGTCGTAGTTATTAAAAATGATGGCAACCAACGCGCTCACGTGTCATTACCAATCTTTTACCAGCGCTTATCGACGTCTCGCATTAGTATCGGCTTTTGTATAAATTTACAATTTCCCTCCCTACGTACGCGTCCGCGAAGATCTCAATTTCTTCGCCCGCGGTCTACCGCTTCTTTCCGCTGTCCGCTATTATACCTTACTATTCGTATGAAAAATATCACATCGCCAAACAGGCGTACCGAGGTATCCAGCGTAGCTAGATGGCTCGATAGCGAATTGAAATATCGGCGAAGTCGCGGGGCCGACTCTTCTCCTCGGTGCTCCTGAATGCCGGCCATTCACGGAACGACCTCCTTCGAGAGAGATCGTCCTTCACCCCTCCCCGAGTCCCTTTTCACCCCGCGCACATGTCGCGCTTCTCAGTTTTCCCGCACCACCAGCGTCTTCCGGCGATTTTCCCCGCGAACTTTCCGCCGCTCCTTTTCCGCTAAATCGCACCCCGCGGCATCCATCTCGGGCCGTATCTTCTTTTAAAGCGCTATATAACGTGCGTAAAGTTTCCTTTACGGGCTCCCTTGTCAGTCGGCGAATTTCGAACGTGCAAAACTTGAGGATTATAATTTTACGGTTCTTTGAAAATTATTAGTGTACACTTGTTGTACGCGAGGAGGCAGGCTGGGAGATCAGATATGGTACTTTGCCGCTTCCTTTCGCACCTCACCTGTCGCGCCTCTTTCCCTTACTCCGCTCGAGTGCCTCTTCATCCCTGACGCGAGTACAATCCGCCCCGTCTCGACGGCGCGGAGGCGAAGGCCGGGTGAAACGAGCCGACAAAAACTGGTTCTCCCGGCGATCGAACGCGAAAACTGTCCGGATGAAAATGACGCATTTCCACCTCGCTGCGTATTATCGTAGCGTACGCCGGACGTTTGCTAACTGGCGATACTGCGGTCAAAGAACGGACGAAGAGGAAAGAAGAATGAGGGAGATATAAGAGTGACCCCGCCCACCTCTGGAGCATATTATTTCGGCACGAGCCTGTTTCCTCGGGAACAATTTCGCTCCTCGGTAACTCGACGGCGCGATCGGCGCTTTTGTAATTAAAGCTCGCGTTCAATTTCCACTAAAGTTCGCTCGAAGCTGAATGAAGGACGGAGGTGAATTAGCGAAAGGTTTGACTTTCGGCGACCGTAACTCGAAAGGACTTTCTCGACCCCGCTTGACGCTCTCGCGGTCTCCCGCGAAGGTATGCCCGCTGCAAATTGGTCAAAGAATCCGTGAATGAACGGGGAAAGGGGGACGCGACGGACGTGGAGGGACGAGAGCCTTTATAGCGCGTATGGGTGGTTCGGCCGAGGCATGTACTCGCGCATCGATCTCTCGAGCGCCGAGGAGATGGAACGTGCTTCGGGGGCAGATTAATATTTCAATGCCGAGAAAGAGCGCCGTGAGACGCCGCCATTATTCCGCGGATTCCGAAAGCAAGGAGCCGCGCGTGTCATCTTGCGTGAAATAGGACAGCGGTCTGGTTTCCGACCTAAATACGAAAGTCGTGTCCCTCGAGCCGCCTTTTGTCATTCCGAAGTGGTGGGGCTTAATGCGGTTTCTTAAATAAGACGCGGCTTTTCCTTGCCTCATTCGTACATTGGGGGACAGCAAAACACAAAATAAATAACAATAAGCAATAAATTATTTTAAGTTAAGGCTCTGTGTAAGAACGATAATAAATATTAATTATGGTAAGGGCGGTAGGAGCCTTTGACAAATTTTTTACGATATTTGCATGTGTTTGCACTTGGATGGAAAAGAACAGAAACACAACTTTGAATATTAAATATTCGAAGTTGTGTTTCTGTTCTTTTCCATCCAAGTGCAAACGCATTCAAATACCGTAAAAAATTCGTCAAAGGCTCCTGTCGCCCTTACCGTAGTTAAATAAGCAATAAATTCGCAATGGAAAAGACAAATGAATGCGTGCGAATTAAGCGATTTTTATCGGAAAAAGTGTTGCTAAAGTGTAAAATATAAAACTGCAATGTATGCGCGTTGTCGAGTGGCAATTAAATGGCAATTGAATCCGGATAACAGTTGCAGCCTTAATGTCCTGTGTATAAGGTAGCGACGAATCACAAAGTTGATCAAGGCATATAATTGATATTTTATATACCTCGAGGAGAGAGAAATGGCCATCAAATTTTTCCCGAAAGAACGCGGTATCGGTTTTAGAAGCCATTTCATACAGATAACATTGGAATTTGGAGTAACGACAGCTGTCCCCATTGGATTGCGTTTGTGTCGAGGAATCCGGCAACGCGATCGAAATAGCCATTTTAGAGACGGCATCCAATCAAGATAAAATTGCCGTATCGGAGGAGCAGCTTCATTTTAGAATCGCTTTAATC